TAAGCAAAATGCTGAGTCTACAAAATTATTTACAAGGTAATTGAAATTAATAAAACAAAAAGTTTATACAAATGACCTCCTCTTTGTATCAGTATCACTAATTCCATACATACCTTTCTAGGTACCAGTAGTATCAACTGCGGCTGCAGCATAAATCAGTTAAGAGCATACTGATTTAAGCCAAGCCAAAGTGGTCTTAATTAAATAAGCAAAGGGAAAAGGTAGCCTAAAAATCAGAAGAGGGAAAAAAAAAAACAACCTAACCCTTCAACAGTTGGAGAAACAGAGAAAGAGTAACAGCGCAATGCTTGACGCACCATCCTACCAAATACTGAAGCGTATGAAACCCAGTTCTTCTCATTGTAGAGTTTTCCTGCTTCTTGCTTTCTCTCTACAAGCTTTTGGCGCAAAAAGTGCACACAAATGTTACTAGAAACATTTGCTTGGAGGTTTTAACTCCATATGTGCAGCTTATTAATGATTTAAGAGTTTAAGATCTGATCCAGACCTTGCTGTGAAAAGGCTCCCACTGATTCAAACCATTTTAGATAAGGCCTCAGGATGACTAAGAACTACTTTAGTTTTTTTGCAAAATGGATACCGCAGACACTACTAACCTTAGAATTGTACCTTCCAGCCAGCAATAACATCTCGCATATCAAATGATCTGTCACAGCTCTATTCAAAAGTTACAAACAGTAACCACAAGGCACACTCTCAGAGATATAGAAAAATAATCTGATCAATAACTAATGGTCTCACATTTACTACTAGGGTAATAAAATTTGTATTTGATCTACTATTACTCTTCTAATGTGTAATTTTACCAAAATATATATTTTATAATTTTTTCAATTATTTATGTTTAACAACATTTAAATATGTGCACAGAGCAGTGTTAAATCAGTATAGTAACCCATAAAAAGTCATACAAAAATAAACAACTTAAACCTTCATCAGTATAACATCCACCAAGCCGCGCAAATTACTGACCTCCTATAAAACGAGTATTAACGATGAAAGTCTAAACCTAGATCGTCTCATCTATCTGTTATCAAAATAATGTTAAAATCTTAAATAAACACATTATTCTTCCTCAGTCCTTGCTGCTTCTTCTATCAAAGTTCTCTATTTGGATCCACAAGGGAAAAACTCCATTCAAAACACCACATTTTGATCTTTAGACTGCCTTCCCAACCATTTAAGACAAAAGCTAAGTCTAGGCAAACCAAAACTAAGTCTTTTCAAAAAACTCCAGTGTCTCCCAAGGACTGCAGACTCCATGGCTTAGGAAAAGAGACTTAACATTATATTTCAAAGATAGTGCATACGTTCTTCAGTAACATGAATGCATGACTCTTCAATATGCTGGAATAAGAGAAGAGAAACAGATGGTGGTATTCAGTATAACCAAAGATGTTGACTGTATTAGACAAAAATCTCTAGTGCCAGAGTCACTTTGTTAAAGGTTCAAAGACAATCATTACAAAACAAAATACATGCAAGAACTAGGTGGTTTATGTCAAAAAGGAAGAAAACGAAACCATAAAAATTATCGTTCCATTCTTTCTAAGGACTTCCTGCCATATTCTTAAACTAATGCTGATAATTCATGAAATTTAAGTAAATTGTCATAAGAATTAGCTACTTCATGTCAAATAATTCCAAATGCAAAGAATGTCCTTTTCCCCAACATCTGTCACATTAACATCATTAAGTAAATACAAATGTAAGCTGGAAATGGAGAAAGACAATATAGTATACAAGACTGAATTTAGGTCTGAACATGGTGAAGCTCAGATTTTAATTCTGTATCTGTCACTGTTCTACTGATCGCTGTTTCTGTTGCAATGGTTAACCAGCATTCCCCTCTTTCCAGGTTTGCAGTGGACCGTTCAGGAATCAGCACAGAGAAAATACTCATTTAAGATACTCAGATGTTTCTTCCAAACTTCCCTTCTCTGGCTGTGTTGCCTGAAGTTTTGGCAGCCTGTCAAAATAGCAACTTTCATGTTCTCCTGAGCTGAGCCCGCTACATTGCCAAAGCTGCAGCAGGAAAGTTTGCATGTGGAAAGATTTTTAGCCTTGCCAAAACAACTACTGCATGTAGAAGGCAAGTTAAACCAAATCAGGTGCCTCCTCACAGCCCAATCCTACCTACTGTGAGAGCAAAAGGATTACAACGTCCCACCTGTACTTCCAGGACACCACATGGGATGACAAGACTTTACTTTCCAGAGAGGACAACAAAAGAATTTGGGGCTAGAACACCTCTGTCTGAACATCTCCGGCAGCCCAGGACACCCCCAGCCCTCAAGCAAAGCCTGGGACTCAGAAAGTCACTGCTATGCTTCCAGTGGGGAAAACCAAACACGCAAGTTTCAAATCCCACCAGTGGTGGGAGTTGCTGCCCGAGGTGTGTATGATAAGCGGAGCTTTCACTTTTAAGGAAGAGAAAGGACAATGCTTAAAAGGCAGCAATGTTAAAATAATATTTACATTACAGAGTAAAGTCACTGAAAGTTGAGAAATGTAAACTTTGGAAGTGTTTGAGTAGCTGTTGTTTAAGCAAACTCATTTCTGCTTTATTTTTTTAAAAAATTATTTCAGGCAACATATACAATTACATGATCACACAGTATTCTTTCTACACGACCTTTCACTCATTCAGTGATCAGCAAAAGTTGCGAGGACAGCCATGCAGTTTGTATGGTACACAGATTTCAATTTCTTCACTACCTACAAAAATACACCCCCAATAGTCAGTAACTTACCTAGGGTTAAAAAAATTTACATTTTTAGATACACCATTTTTAAAGGTAAGTTTCAAATTTTCACGTTTCTACTTCTGAACTGACCAATTAACCAGAACATATCAATCTGTTAGAAACTTCCTGATGAGAAGAAAAACTGAATTAGACGTAAAACTATGGTACTGAAAGTTAAATGCGTTTGGATATTAGTGTGAAATGGTTACCAAGAGACAGAGAATTTCTATAACTTATTATATTTTAATGTATTTGTTTTCTGATAACATTGAAACTTCTTACGTGAGAGTTTTTGGTGGCAGCGCTCTTTACATACTGGTTTCCACAAATAAGAAATTGCTGTGGATGCCTGATTGCTTCCTTTGCATTATATCTCTCTTGTTTACAAAGGGGCTTTTAATAATCCACTATTGCTCTCAAATAACCTTGTGCAAAGTATAAAATGGACACATTTTTGAAAACAGGTGAGTGAGTATTCAGTAACCCAACCAAGACCACAATACTGGCAGGTTTTGAGTAGCATGGTCGTGCCTTATCTTTCTGTTTAATTCATCACGTCTCTAAATACACTACTAAAAAGGTGTCTGTGCACCTGGGTAGGGGTAATTATTAAATAACACTGTCAATTCTTACCTTATGTAAACATACTGCAAATACAAAAACAATTTATGCTTTCAAAATGTTAAATAATAGATCCTATGATTTTTAAAAGTCAAACTCAAAACTATACTTGTAGCACTCTATGGGAGATAAAACACGTTTTGCAACTTCTGTATGTATGCTAATATTTGAAATCCAATTACAGAAGGCAATGTGTTGTTTTGACAGAGGAAATTAAAGATTCAATATTACAATCTTCTTTTTGAAAAAATACTTCAAACTTCACCTCAACAATTGAGCCCTGCTCCATTCCTAGATAAAAACTAAACATTTTTGGAGTGAAGTAACTTCCTTATGATACCACAGTAGTATTCGCTTCCCCACTCCAAAAATCTACAAAAGCAGAAAGAAAATGAAGCCTTGGATACGTAACACAGGTCATAAGTACAATCTGTTGTATTACTACTGAATCTATCTTCCACTAAGAGCGGGAACATCCTTCAAAGATTATTTTATCCAAATGGCTGATCTGAAATTTTCCGTATTAACAAGTTTGGATATTGCAACAGCTAGGATGCACTAGCAGAGAATTCGCCTACAAAGTGGCAGTTTAGTCTAAATCAGTTCACTGGCAACTCTAAAGAACAGCATTGTTTCAACAACTCAAGTTTGCCAACAACATCTTCTTAAACCATTTCCAGCTACACTAAAAGAACCTTCAACTATATGTTAAATCTCACTGCCAGTCAGCAGGATTTTAGCCAAATAATTCAGGCAGTTAAACAGGACTTTTAAATACAGTCATTATTACACAGCTGAGTAGCAATCAATCCTTTTTTTTTTAAAATTAATTTGTATTCCAAACTTTGTTTCACAATTATTAGCGTCACAAAAATTATTTCAAGGTTTTAGAAGGAAATAGCCTCAGTACTAAAGCTGACCATAAAAGAAAATTGACTTTAATGAATGTTTGTAATGGTTTCTCTCTTTTTTTCTTTTCCCCTCCCCCTTCATTTTTCATCTAGCTCAACACATGTGTATTAGTCTTTGAACATTCACAACACCAAAATACTAAGCACTAAAACTTAAGAAAGATGCAAAATGTATGCAAAACCAAGCAGAGTAAGTGAAGGGTAACTTACATATGGCTCATAAGTATGGTAAATGCTCATGGCAAACTTTAAATGCTAGCAAGAATTGTACCTCATGCAATTACAAACTGTTTCTAAAAATATTAATTTAATATATTCTAAATGATGAAAACATAACTGCAGTCAAATTCCAGAAAGCTCCAGGTTAAAAATCACCATAAACAGAGTAGTTCTATTGGCTTCAGTCAACTTAACTCTAAGCAAGAGGATAAACACAGCAGCAGACATATGCACGCTCTGCTCAATTAGCACTCAGTGTACCTCAAATTCTCTGTACTTCTCAAGTATGTAACTTATTAAAACGAACCAGAAACTTGGGTGATCTGTGGAAATAATGCTCAGATCCAACTTCTGAAAATAATCTTTCCTCAACTCTAGAAAACTCACCTTTTTTTCCCCCATCTACCCCTATCTAAAAATAAAAAAACATTACTGAATAATTTCAATACTGCTATAGCTTTATATCATACAACAATTTTACCTTTCCAAGCATTCTTCCAAGAAAGTAGTAATGTCGGGCATAAGAGTCTCCAACAAGCATCTGAGCAGCAGGGTTGGGGTAAAGAAGTCCCTCATTGGTGGTCTTAAAAAATCCCTGGTTAGGGTTAAATCCTGATTTAAGTAGTTCATTCAGAAATTCTCTGAAAATTCCACCACCATCAATACCAGCTTCATCAAGACCATGTGCATTTAGTAAATGAACACGAATGCGCTTTTTTAGGTCAGGTTCTGCAGAGAAAGGAGACACACAAACTCAAATACAACTATCTGTCTGAATTTTGTTTGGACAAAAAGACATGTAAATACACATAGAAATGTTTCTATGCTAACTGTAGATAAAAAATTGAACTAGTAAATAGTACTGTAGCAAAAATCTATTATGGGCTTGAATTTTGGGATATTCGGTAGGTGTAACTCACTTTGCACAAAGGGTCTTGCTTCCCCTACACTAGTAGGGGAAGGGAAAAAAAAACCTTACAAAATATTTTAAGAGGTCCAAGAATAATTTGGAAATTCTATTTATATAAAATATGGTGAATGCAAGATTCAACTTTCCCCTGTCTGAAGGAGCCATCAATAAGCACTGCATCCCTTAGAGGGATGACTCTTAAGCTACACTATTAAACAATATTATTTGAAATTGAACTTAATATTTTTGATACTTTGGACTCACTGCTGTCTCATGTAATTCCGGTAAGAAATATGGGGTAGAGATGGACACATTTTGAAGCACATTCTGCTTGTTTCATAGAAGGCTGCTACTTGAGAGAGCAACCAGTATTCAGTCCTTGAACTATGGCTACACAACAGGGAAGGAGGGCCTTTTTGCTCAAGTCACCGAAGGCTTCCGAAGATCTAACCAAATACACAGCTTTTATTTGAACCCTTGCATTGACTACACTTGCGTGCCACCAAAGCAACCAGTAATAAACCAGAAACAACAAAACCTTCTACTGCTTCTATGTGCTAAAAACGCATGGTTTAGAGGAGCTGCTCTCACACAAATTTACACTAAGGTATGATTCAAACCCATGTGGTAAAATATATACTACTAGATACTATCGCAACAAAGTGCCCTACTGACTTATCCTTATCAGATACACTGTACCTAGCAAATCCTGTGCAGTCTAGATACTTTTGTTGATGCAGATTACCAAAAGCAGATAATATCTAATTAACTACATAAATAAATATACAAAGTACAGTTATTTGGACAAGTAAACAGGAAGAAAAGCCCCATAAAAGTAGTATGGAACTAAGGAAGGGTGCGTTAAAGAGAACGAGACTGCAATAATCAGAAGGAATGTGGATGAGAATTACTTTATGTAAAAACAAGGATATTTAACTTTATAAGGACTCTCACATCTTAGAGCTGATACACTTTCAACATCCTACTCAAGTAAGCAAATGCGTAACTACACGGTAAGAATGGTTAAATGTTATGAACAAGCTGATGATAACTTTTAATTGTAAACCTACCATTTTCAGGAGAAAGTTTATCATAAGCATCTTCATAAATATAATTTCTTCTGATAGTGACATTAATTCCATCCAAAAATGGCCCATCTCCTTGAACTTCTTGTTTATCAGCATAGATCAGTCTTTGAAAAATCTGTTAAAATGAGTGAAAAGAGAAATCATGTCATTGTGTAGATCTAAATATTTAATGGGAGATGGTTATTCACTACTATTACTGTTCTGTGAGTTGCTCCTGGGCACTCACTTTCAAGTGATTTGTCCTCTCCTTCATCGAGCTGCAGAAACATAATACAGAGCCATGTCCCAGGGGAGGGAAGGAGAGGGGACAGACATTTAAAAAACCTTTTCCTGCTAAGATATCATCCTCAATTCTTTCTACATAAAGAGGCACATCTACAGACATTGTGTCAGTGATTCCAGTTTCCTCTCCCTAACTTTCAGAGTTCTGAAATACAAAGTATTTGAAAAGAAAGTGGAAAAGTCACGATACTATTATTGCACACACAGAGGCAATCCTCAATACTAGTAAACAATTTTTTTCATTTTTGTAATGCTTAGGAACATTCCCAGTAACAAGAAATTAGGTATCAGTACTCCTCTCAGGAGCAGTGATCAAATAATTCAAAGCAAAACAGTGGACAGCACTTAAAGAACCAGAGCATCATACCAATTTAAAAAAATAGTGTCAGCTGAAGTACAAGTTAAACTTCACATTGTCCCTTTGCAAGTTTTCACAACAAGAACCTGTTAAATTCACCTGAAGAGTAACTGCAGCTGTGTTTCTATGCCAAGATGTAGCATGAGAGGGGGTTGCCTAACGCATTATAATGTTCAATATACCCTCAATCCAAGGAGTGTCTGCTTACTACATCCTCTCTTGCAGCTTTCCCATAGTCAATAAACAGTTTAGTACATTTTCTAAGCGATGTAGTCTCCCAGTAATATCACAGACTGCTTTCTTAACTAAGATGATTAAGGAAGAGTTTCCAGAGATGTTTAAGAACAACAAGTTTATCATGAAAGAGGAAAATATGACAACAGCAGACAAAGCTAGAGTAAGGTCTCAAAACTACTGTTTCTATGGTTAACTGTAGCTGGTGGACAAGATGCTCTCCAACCAAGAGGATTATAGTGCAGACAAAGCCAGATTCTTCCCTGATGTATGCAGCAGGAAGACAAGAGAAAGTAGTCATAAGCTGCAGAAAGAGAAATGCTGAGTGGACATAAAGAAAAAAAAAATCATAATGAGAGTGATTAAGTGTCAGAAGAGGCTACACAAAGAGTCTGTCAATCTCCATCTCTGGAGAAAATCAAAACTCATCTGGACAAGTCCTTGAGCACCCTGATCCAACTCTGAAGTTAACTCCTGTATGGGGAAGGATGTGGACTAGAGTATCTCCAGAGGTCCCTTCTGATCTTAATTTTTCTACAGTTCTATGACATCAAGACACACAATCACAAACACCTTCTTTTTATGTACAAGGCATGAGAATATGCTCACCATCATTCTCTTTCCTGAAGCACAGCTAGATACAGTTTATTAACTATTGCTACACAATGCTAGATGGAAAGAATTGCCTAGAGATACAGCTCATTGCAAAATTCTTCTTGATACAGAGTCTGGTCTCCTACATAATCCAATGTTCATGCATATGGTAGTCCTGAAAATAAGAACCCTAATGCATAACTGAAGTGTTTACAATGACTTCAGACTAAAACATGGAGAAGCATGCAATGCTGACTGAGGTAGACACCATAGGAAGTAACATCACCATAGACAAGCTGACGGAAGTACGGCTTAAGTTAAGTGAGAACCAAGGACCTGATAAAAATTGGATTCATTACCTCCTACAAGTAAATATTCGATTGAAAGGTGCACACTAATGTGTCTTAAGGCTAAAGAGGATAATATCCCCCAGGGTCAGAAGGCTGAAGAGCCTACTATGAAACTAGACTCAGTAATTGCTTGCAAGAGTTTCTAGCATCTGGTAATTCAAGGTAAAAAGCTCATGAAGAAGTCAGAAAATGAAAGGACACATGGAACAACCCACACATGGAAACAGCATAGAATCATAGAATGGTTTGGGTTGGAAGGGACCTTAAAGATCATCTAGTTCCAACCTCCCTGCCTTGGGCAGGGACACCCTCCACTACACCAGGTTGCCCAAAGCCTCATCCAACCTGGCCTGGAACACTTCCAGGGATAGGGCATCCACAACTTCTCTGGGCAACCTGTTCCAGTGCCTCACCACCCTCAGAGTGAAAAATTTCTTCCTTATATCCAATCTAAATCTGCCCTCTTTCAGTTTAAATCCATTGTCCCTTGTCCTATCACTACATGCCCTTGTAAAAAGTCCCTCTCCAGCTTTCCTGTAGGCCCCCTGTAAGTACTGGAAGGCTGCTATAAGATCAGCCCGGAGCCTTCTCTTCTCCAGGCTGAACAGCCCCAACTCTCTCAGCCTGTCTTCATAGCAGATGTGCTCCTGCCCTCAGATGGTAATACAGCTCAATGCTGTATTACCACATTAAATTACAACGTAATAGATGGCAACTGGAAGAAAGAAAAAACACAAAACAAACCCAAAATAAAATCATGATAAGGTATCGTCTTCCCTCATTTCAACTTGTTTTGCAGGGGCAGTAGGAGACTCCAAAAGGATGTTGACTCCCACTATTACACAAAAAGGGCCATATTTGGTCCAAAAAGCAGTATAAGAGGATCGCCTCTTTGAACTACAGAAGTTTAGTCTCCAGCTTTATCCTTCTCTCCAAGCCCTCATCCAATCGTTACAATTTCTGGTTTTGTGATAAAACTAAGCAAGGTTTTATGAATTCCAGAAATTTAAAATGTGCTTTAATATAGCTTTAAGAAGTCTAGAGGTTGTAGACAGCAACTAAATCGTGACACACTGACCCCTGCTTGAGGTCACTTCCAATTGTTTCCCTGTAATCCTAGTGCAAGGTATCCATATGGTATTAAGATGTTTTGTTGGAACAACTGTTTTGTAGAAGGCTGGAAAAAAACACTTCTTTCCTACCAAAGCTGTTATTGTCTCTTTTGACAAATACTGATCTACTTTCCCTATGGAACTATTCTTCATTCCTTTGATGGTGTCTTTCAACTTAATGTTTCCAAGACAATTCAGGGAGTCGTTTCTAAGTAATTGATAGAGGTGACAACAAAAGAAAAAAGTTATGGGTAACAGGATAATAGCTTTAAAAAAATATATGATGCAAACCAAAATATGTAATAGAACTAAAAATTACGTATTTAAAATCTAAAAGACAGTCAAAAGCAAATCAAATAGTACAAGAATCTTGCAAGTTTTAAACTACATACTCTATTATAAAGTTCAGCTACTCGGCTATGAATGCAGAAATTTAATCTCTAGGCGTTATTTTCCCAAAATGGACATCCATCATCTCATTCTGAGTAAATCCACCCACTGCACAAGAGTCTCCAGTCTTGACCTTGCAATCTGTTTATTACAGACACACAACTAGTTAGTGCTCTGCTTACCACAAGAGGGTGCAATCAGGTAGATCAATCATTGAATCAGGACTGCACTCTGTTACAAACATAAAACTGCTCTCACGTTCTTTAGTTTAATGCAGTTATTATAAAGGGTAATATAACTAGTAAAAAATATAAAAGTAATTAACTTCAAATGTTTAGTTGCCACATGAGTACTGAAGAA